TTAGCTGTCAGAATTCATTCAGAATCCTGAGATTAAAGTCAGAATTCTGATCTTTTTCCCATATTAATCTGAAATAATATTTAAAAATTAGTTAGCTTTTTTCAGTGGCCTTAATCCTCTACCGTAGAACTTCAATCTGCGGACCTTTAAACTTTTTTCTTCTTAATCTTCACTGCTATTATAATCACAGAAGGGTGAGAAACTGCCCCTTATAGGAGTGGTAATCCTGCAGATTAACTGTAATCGGGAGCGCGCGTAGACGCACAAGCGGGTTCTTTAGGTTTTGCAGGATAATTTACCATAAACTACTGACCGTAAGCGTTCGTTAAAGCCCACTGTAGGAGAAAAAGATTTGTATGACAAGACCATGAAAATGTTGTTGCATGAGGCTCAATGCTGAGTTGTACCAGCAGATGGCGCACACACACTGCAAAGGTTTCACCCCTGCTTTGCTCCTCTTTTCTTTGTTTCCTCTCAGGGGAGCGGCGCTCTCGACTTCCCCAACGGAGTGCCAACGTCACTGAGGGAGTCTGGGCAGCAGTGGGACTATCCCAACGCCTGGCCTCCTTTGCAGCACATGCTCATTGAAGGTGGGAAGCAACAGAAACAAAGAAGCCTCCTAAAACCCAGGGATTCATCAGCCCAATATTTGCATAAGAATTTCTGAAAACTAGATGACTCATTTGCTCTGGATTGGCATCAGACCACAGCCATGTTAAAGAAAATGAAGAAAAACAGCAGTTTAATATAATATGAGCTCATCTGGTGCTCGTCTTTTTGTACAAATATGGCCAAACCCTTAATGTATATCTGAATTCATCCCACTTTGTTTCCGTTTTGTGGAGTTTATTACATCCACATCAGACACACAGCTTGAGGGATTGCTTCCTGTCATATTTTTTTTATCTGGCATCTTCCTCAGTGATGCTCTGATGGGCCTGTGTAGCAGCTCTCTCTATTTTCTTTTTGCTTCGGGGGCTTATTTCCTTTCAGTTTGGTGTTCATGAAGTGAAATACATGCTCAGCTGCATTGAAATCAGGTAACAGATTGGATCAGGAAAAAAAAAAAGCACCACTGGGCCATAAAAAAATAAATCTCACCTGCTGTCTTGTACTCTGTGAGATTTTTCTGTGCTATATTGTGGTTTAAAAAAAAATCATTCAACCACCATAACAGGAAATTAAACTAAAGGCTAAGAGCGTGTTCTTACTAAAAAGGAGACATTTGTTTCACCAGGTTTGTCCAAACTGTCTTCAGAGGACGCCAAGAATCTGGCTTCTAATTTGGCACAGCGCTGGATCAAAACAAACTGGCTGGCTTATGAAAAATACAAAGCCATGTTTGAAAAGGTGAGCATGTTTTCTGGGTGTTTATTTGTTTTTGTTGCCTTAGAGCTCAGTGCATAGAGGACAGAACGTGTAATCTTCCTCTCCACCCTAACAGTACGATGTGAATGGGGACGGAAAACCAGGTGGAGGTGGAGAATATGAAGTTCAGGTAATTCCCTTTTTATCTTACAAATATTCAAACCCCTCAATTTAGGTACAAATAAAGTTTATGGCTCTGTATCCAGTGGCTCACAAAAGTATTCACACCTCTTAACTGTTTTTTTTTTTACACTTTGTCAAGTTACTGAATTAGATCCATTCAAATCAATGGGAACTCTTGGTTTTTAACATTCATTATGAATGAAAATCTGAAAATTTATACCAAATTATAAATGATCACATGCGTATATAATTAGTTTATAAAAAAGTCAATACTTAGCTGCAGAGTATCCCCACAGAATGATTCTTTCACCCCCGTGTTTCGCTGTGGGGATGATGTCTTCAGGCTGATCCTCGGTTAGTTTTTCTTCTTTGCCTTATTTCCAGATATTTGCCATGTTCCCTGCATGAGTTTGTTTTTGTCACTCAGATTTGTAGCGTGCATAAATAATAGCTGCTCTGTCAAAAGATTCTGACATGTGAGCTGTGGATCCCTGCAGCTCCTCCACTTACCAAAAACCTCTTAATTGCTTTTTTTTCTTACTGTTCCTGTCCAGCTTTAACTGAATTCAGCAAAGGTTGTCTCTTTTTACTAAATAAAGGACTTTTTAATTTAGTCTGAGGTATCTGAGTAAAAAAGAGGCTAAATACATATATTTTTAAAACATTTAAGATTAACTTTCCGTAAAAGTTCAAAAAACAACCAACTGGACTTGGTTTCCAAGGTTTTGAAAGTTTTACAGAATGACTATGACCTAGATGACTGAGAATCTTCATCAGCATTTAAGCTTAACTTTGTGTTGTTTTATCCCATAAAATCCCTATAAATTCCAATGATATTTGTTCTTGTAATGTAGTGAGAACATCTATTAAAGCAGGAGTTTTAGCCTTTTGCTTCTCTGAAGGTTAACTAGTGTGGGATAACACAATGCTGAGAGGGACAGCAGAGATGCAACTGTTTTGCCTGGGGGGGTTATTAGGTATAAATGTTTTCTACCCATTTTAACTCCATTACTCCAGAGGAAGAAAAGAAAAATCCTGAGTGAAACAGTAAAATACTCAGACTCCTTAAGCCGTGGTTAGAATGTTAAACTTTAGTGGCTTATGAGAAAAATTCTCAGATGTTTGACCCTAATGTTCGGAACCACAAACCAACTGTCAGGCACGGCGGAGCAGGGGTGAGGATTAAGATTTGCTTTGGAGACATAGAAGTAAAACCATTATACCCTAAATGTCTTCTTTTTAAAATTTAATATAATCAAGTTGGAGGGAATAAGTCCAACAGTTGAAGCCTGGACCAAACCGGGTCATTAATAAGGAATTGATCTCAAAAGCAAGGACACGGCCCAGATCTTTGCCTGACTGAAATGCAACGGTGGAACCGAAGAGAGATGAGCAGAAACTAATGTCTGCAAACCGGAATGAAAGGAACCAACCAGTAGAGAAGGGCGGCCCAAATCTACAAAAAAAAAATTGGAGAAACGGTTGAAGTCACAGAAAAAAAATATGACTTCAATGTTAACTAGTTCTATGAGCTGTTCTTTGTTTTCCACTCCTACTTTTCCCAGTTTTTCTTTGTTTTACCTGATAAGTAGAGTGACCTGTTGGTATTGTTGGCGTATCTGAGGTTAGTATTATATTATTTTCGAACCCCCTGAAGACTGAATTATTTTTGCTATGCTTAGAGATGTCAAACCATAGAATTAAAAACAGAGTACTTTTTAAAGCACCCTTTTTAATTTTAAGCCAAAATCCAGTGAATGTTTTCCCTCATCCATCAGCCTCCTACCTCCCACACAAACCAACCATTGCTCTATTCTCCCATCCTCTCCTATTCCCCTCCCTGACTGAAATATAAAACCACAAGTGATATTTGAGGTCTTCGAGATTGAACTGCACTGTCTGATGCGCTTTATAAAAATAGAAGTAACACTAACACTCTGCTGCTGTGTCCCTCCCCCTGCTGCAGCTGGGCTTTGGTTGGACCAACGGTGTGGCCCTGCAGCTCCTGGATCAGTATGGGGCGACTCTCACCTCGGGAGGCAGACGTGTGTGTGTTGACCTCCTGCTGCCTCTGGCCGTCTCCATCGCTCTCATGCTCCACTGAATCAGAGGTGTCAGAAGAACCCGGCTGAGGCCTGGATTTTATTTTAGCATTCCTGTTTTCACTCCTACAACATCTCTCTGTCCACAGACACGACTAAAGAGACTTATGAGGATATATTTTTTTATCCATTAAAACCAATAATTAGCATTTTTATTGCATATAATTACTGATGATTTGTTTTATTCCTCTGAGGCCAGTATTGCTTTGTTTCATGAGAAGATTTGTATCTATATTTTAGCTGCTGAATCTCATAACAGCATTAATTTTCTTCTTTACTTTAAAAATATTCACGCTACTAATTCAGTTCTTGTATTTATTGCCGTAATGGAGCTTAATTATCCTGAGCCTCTGGGTTTCAATAAAAAAAAAAAAAAAAAAAAACTGTAAATTAACTTCGTTGAGAAATAAACATTGACTCAGATACTCATAGAAAAGCTTCCAACTGCTTTAAATCTAAACACTGTTGTTCTGTCAATACCAGCCTCTAAGGATGACTTACTGGGTAACCATGGCGTTCAAATATGTGAATATTGTGTTTTTATAAGTCGACCACCGAAACCTTTTTGTGAAATGTAGTGAAAGTGTGTGGGAATTAATTTCAATGCAACCTTTTCTCCCAGCAGCACATATAGAAATAACCTCTTGGCCTTTATTAATAAACACACAGGGTGCATGCTGATTCCCATGTTGGGAAACATGGCAAACATGACAGGATTTGATGCATTTCCTGCTTTTATGAAAATCTCCATCCCTGCTGCTGTTTATATCTAGTAGGAGAATAATGATGGATACTGTGAGTCAGATGTTTTAGGGGGGAAAAAACACTTCTAATTGTGTTTGACGGCTGTTTTTCACCACATTCTGTTGCACGGTTTTATTCAGGATCATTCTGTGCTCTTACTCATAGACTATCAACATGTTCCTGTTTTCTTATGTTGTATAAATAAGTTTTGGCTGAAGGATTCTTACTGAAACTTTCCATCACATTTCGTTTAAAAAAAAAGTTCATTTTTCCAAACTTTGGAAGCTCTAACATGCCTCGCTCAAGGCAACAAATCAGTTTGTCAGTTTTATTTGAATATATAAACTGAAAGCAGGTCATTTTTGTCACTGATTTTAAATCAGACTAAACTTTTCGTGTTTTATGTTTACATATAAGATTATTGTTCCTTTAAACAATTTTTGGGTAGTTAAATGTTTATCAGAATCATAATGCTGGGTACAGGGTTACATCCCTTAGGAAATGCATGACCTCAACATCATCGCTCTGTCAAAACAAAGGAGACCGGAGCGACTGCAAAAACTACAGGAGCGTCTCCCTGCTCGACATCATTTGCAAAGTGTTTGCCTGTGTTTTCCTTGGACCCATAGCGACCCTCACCTCCCATGTCTATGCAGAATACTAATGTAGCTTCAGGGCTGGATGATAAACAACAGACATGACGTCAGATAAAGGAGATTCCAACTCTAAATGAAAGGACCAAGATGCACATCTACCAGGCTTAGCACAGTCCGGATTACTACTCTGCAAAGATGCCTGTAAGGACGAGAGCCAGGCTACGACTTGTTATCAGAGATTGTACAAAAGATGCCATTCAGGAAAGAACCAGACAAAGACCACCAACAGTACCCCTAGGAGCCACACAGTTTTGGAGGAAGACACTGGTTGATCTGCTCAGCCAACCAAAGAAGTGCGGATGAACCCGCGTTTGGAAACTACATCATCGTCTCCTGAGAGGAATGGATGTCAACGATTGTTTTGTATTTTCTCAGTCCTTTTCCAACATCCTTTCTTTCTCAGAATGTTTTCTTCTCATGGTTTTAAATCAGAATACAATCTGAACCGCCAAATCTCTCAATTCTAGGTATGAAAAGTTAATAAGGAGACTAGCAGTAAGTTAAACCTGAAGGATGATCAAATCTTATCGTGTTAGATGTTATTAGCGGTTATCATTCTCTTAGAATGGCTTCAGATTGTACTTTCTACCTTCCAGTGGGTTCAGTAGGTTATTACAGAATAAATCCTAATCTTAACGCTAAAGTAATTCCTTTTTTTAAATTTTATTTATATGTAATCTGAACATTATTTACTATTTCTTCATGTATTGTAAGAAAAAGGTGATCTGCAGATCACTCATATCGAACAAAACCTCATCGAACAAAACCTTATCTTTTCAACTGGGTTGTTTTTAAACACCGCATTACATCTGTGTGACTGAAACATCTGGAATTCACTCGCAGCAAAGCTTTAAAACAGTTTTTCTTTTTAAAAAGAAGGTAGGCTGTAAATAAAGTATAAAAAGTATAAAGTAATTAAATATTAATTCAAACTTAAGGTTTTAGACATGGCCATAGCGGCTATTAACAATAAGCTGAATACTATCATCCATAAGAAACCTACTAGAAGGTAGAGGAGGCGAAATTTGAAGCCATTCTATGGGACTGATAACGGCTAATAACAGCCAGTAAGACACAGATGCAGTTCATACAATAGGAAAGTACACCTCGCTGTGTACAAAATATAGTTTTGCAGAATTAGGGAAAGTTTCTTCAGGCTGTTTTGTTTCAACATAAAACAGCTCCTAATCTATAGAGCAAGACACAGAAGGAGGATTTAAAAATAATCATGGGTTAAAATGTTAGAGATGAAAGAATTCTTAAAGGAAATGAACCCCCATCTTGGTTCACTCTGTAGAACAGCTTTCTATATTGGATCACATTAATGGACCGGACTGTCTGGATGGAGATTCTGCTCCTGAAACAAAGACACTTTCTTTTAGTGCTTTTCCTTTTAGTGGTAAGGGTTAACAATGTGAGAAGTTTAATTATCAACCTAAAGGCTTTAAGTAGTGAATCAACGGTCGCTACTGTTGTTACCTTTGTGCTTTCAGAAATATGAAACCCTGCTGATAAGAGACCAATCCATGTGTGGGATCAGGGTGAAAACAGTAACTAACGTAAAATGTGTTACCAGCAGTGGTGGCTGGTTAATAGAGGGCACAACTACGCCGCCCCACCCACCCAATGACTTTTATTAAGACATAAATATAAAAAATAATAAATTACAAAATGAAAGTTCTTTGAAATATATTAATATATTTTCTAGATGTGCAAGAAAAATATTCAGTCTTTAATGATGAGCAAAGCCGTTTCTCTTTTACAGTTGTAAATGCTCAGCAGCTCCTCTGCAATCTTAGGAGAAATCTGCACCCTGAGCTCTCCAGAGCTGGCAGGAACTGTCGTCACAGTCGTAGTGCGGCTGTTTGACAGGTCGAGTTGCAGAAGTGAAGTCCCTTAAGGTAAACTTACCAAGAAAAGGTGGAGGTGAAACCGTTTGGACCTGATCAGCCGAACATCAAAATTATTGAGCAGTCAAAAAGACAGCTGGAGACTGTACAGGACCTGGTTTAGCTACAAGGCTTGGCTATCTGCATGCAGCGAGGCTAACGCTTTATTCTGCTTTTCCCTTGCCTTTCTACTTTTAGAAAAGGCAAAGAAGAACGAACCATCTGGGTGTCATATGGAAAATAATATCATATAGTGTACTTTTTCTAGATGTTTGCTAATTTGATTAGTTGCTCTTAAATAAACACATTCTCAGAATGCAGTTTTTATTTATTTAGAAAATATAGAACTGACTTATAGCTTCACCATTATTAAACTACTACATTATTTTTTTAGGTTTGTGGCGCCATATTGGATCATGCAAAACACAGATTTGCGTTTACAAAGCCTCAGAAGAGAAGGATTTATGTACAAAAAGCAAACCTTTACATGAGATTATGTTTTGTTTTTATAATGTTTTTTGTAGTTTGCATTCATATAAATATACTGGTGATAACTTAGTATAGGTTTAATTGGTTTTTGGTATATGTGTATTTTGAATTTATAGCCCTCCCCCTGGAGAAAACTCCACCAGCCACTGGCTACCAGGCTGAGTCCCAAAGATTATCTAACAAAAATGTCAGAAAGTTAGAAAGAAAGTAACAAAGTTTGTCATATATGTGCTTACATCAGAGATCAGCACCTCCACCCAAACATCTTAAGAACATCTTTGGTTTCAACCATCAGACGCCGTTAGACTACATTATCGCTAAAATGTTTGCTTGGTAAGCAAGTTGGAAAAATAAGGCAATTTTGTGGTTGACTTTTTAGTTTCATTGTATTTTTTCACTAGTCAGCCTCATCCACAATGTTAAATCTGATTATAACAGGGTTTCATCTCAAATTGCACCCTAAGGTGCCGTTTCTATGACTGATGAAGTCTCATTGCAACTGGCAGGAGGTAGGAGAGTGCATGTTTACAGCCTTCCTCTGAACACAGCAGTACCATTCATACATTCTACCCGATTTTGGTTGATTCTTGTTGGTAAGTCAGCTGAAGTTCTAGTATAACAAATATTAATGCAAAATTATATATTTTTTACTTTATATTTATTGTTAAAACCTATATTGGATTACGTAATGATAAAGAGGCTTTATAAATATTATTTCACATGGTAGCTGGAAATGAACCAGCTAAAAAGTTAAGAGGATGAAACTAGTTTAGTAATTGCATGTATGATAACATTTTGTTTTATTTGTGGCTTGAAAGGAAATGTATTTAATTTATCTGATTGCAAGGAGCGATGAAAAGAGACAAAATTCCCTTTTCCCTTCCTAAAAACTGGGGAACAGTTTCTTCATATGCTTCATTGTTCAGGCACATATGTTATGGCATTGAATGCAGACACCTGCTCTCATGCAAATCTTCCCCTTTCAGCCAAAATCATACGTCAATGATGCTGATGTATGAGACTGTAGTATCTGAGGCTATTGTTCCACTCATTGTTCTGCTGTTTCCATCCTGACGTTCCTGTTCTATAGAGGAAAGATGAAGAAATACCATTAACAGATAAGTAGGAGACAAAGAACATAGAGGGAAAAGAAAAAAAAGTACGAAAAAGAAATGCATAAACTTGAGCTCAGATGCACAGGAAAAAATAAAAATTTTAGTAATTTTTTAATAACATATTCTCTTTTTTATAACTTTTTGAAAAAAACAATTATTTGTTTTGGCGTTCCTGTCATTTAACGCCCTTCTCCTAAAATGAACATACATAAAAAGCTGTTTTCTTGTATCCTCAGCACTCTCAGCAGGTGTGAAAACAATGAAGGCGCTTCGT